CACTACACCATACCGGATGATGGCTGTTAATTGGTTAAGAGTTGAGCTTCCAAATTAGACTTATAATCGCAGCCCCGTCGTGTTTCTCATGAAGATCGTGAAGCGTCAACCATGTCGTGCTAAATGACGGGTTTCAAATGGTCTCGCAAGAGCTACATATCATATAGCACATGGCGGTGACTCTGAGAACCTTAAAGGCTATGAGAAACGCAGGGCAAAGTTTTTCAAGGCTCGTCGGCAGCAATGAAAGGGCACATGCTGCCACGAAGCATTTTGCCAAAGTTGAGCGTGAAAGACTGGGAGTCATCTTCAGCCTCACTTTGTGTCGAGTCAAATGTCGGAGTTTAATATCTACGAACACGTATGCCCATTACGAAGCCACTCACATTCTGACTCATTGCATCCTCATTAGTCTCTACCTTTAGCACGTCATTTACAACAGAACTTATTCTTGATAGTATCGTCATGTAGGTTTTTTATTGAAATACACCTTGCTTCAATTTGCACCGCCAACGTGATCTTCAGCCTAAGAAGTGAGAGGAGCTTCGCAAACAAGCTTCATTATGAGCTTCACCATTTGTCCTTCAGCCCTCGAAAGGGCACGTACATGTTCACAGCATTCCCGCAACACAAGGCATCTTCAAACAAACTCCCATCTTTTCCACTCTCACAAATAAAATCACAAGCCCTGAACGACATGTCCCTCTTACACGCTGAACGTATGTACATCTTCAAGCCACAGCGCCACAACTAACATTTCTTTTTCCTCTCTCATCTTGCTCCACCCGATAAGCTCCCGCTGTCTAACTCCACCACTCACCCAAATCCCTGGCCTGGCCTGGCCTTGTCCCGTCCATCCACACTCCCCCCCTCCCCTAGCCAGCCAAAGTACTCTTTTGGTGAGACCTCACTGGGAATGTACCTCTCTCTCTCTTTTTGCCAATGGCTTGGTCCCCGCTGCAACGGCGGCTTCACCCGCGCACATCAGTCAGAACATGCTTAGGTTATGTCCCTTACTTACCCAGAAATATGGCTCACGCTTAACCTCTAGAGGAAGCGAACCGGCCCCCAAATGGAAGTGCAGTGTAGTGTAGGGCTGAAGTCAATGGGTTTTCTTTCAAGGGTCCCTACGTTCATTTGATCTTGTGACAGCATGTCAAGCAGACTTTTTTGTCGTTCCGTCAATCAGGTCAATATTCTCATTCATCCTGCCGACAGACAGACAAGGCAATGCAGTGAGTGCTTGGGTAAACAATTCATTTCGTTGTTGTCTAGCTAGACTAGTCCCTTCGAAGGGGCAACTGCAATCCAATCTCTGCTCAAGGTCAGAAGGTTGTGCCTCTGCCTAGGCGCGCGCACGCATACAGTCAATACTCGCTGACCTGAAATCATCCAGTGATGTTCAAGTCCACGGCCATGACTAGCCATCAAATGTGCGCACAACTCTTGCATCCTAGTAGTCCAAATAAAATAGCAGCCTAAAGCCCAGCCGAGTCTGCTGGGAGGGGCCATACACGATAACGCCAAACATCCATCCATGCTGTACCTCGCTGTCCACAATCTCTCGCCCTTGACAACCTCGAAGATGACATGACTTCAGAGGGCGAGCTGGACAGGACAAGACCGAGTCCCATGATAGAAAATGAAATAATAGAAAACTGTGGAGTGGTGTGACGTGATCGCAAAGGGGTCAGGGTCAGGTATATATGCACTCCGGGTATCGTGAAGATGAGAATCCCTAATGCTATGGTGTATCGCCCAAAAGAAAAATGTTAATGTGCCGTGATTCCGATTGACTCTCATATACTGACCCAACCATTTGGGTTCAGCAGGGAAAAATGAAATGAAGTGAATTGAGGTAACTCAGGTGACAAGCATCGTTGCTCAGAAGACAAGCGGCAAATAGAGGACACGCTACGCCGTGGCCAACCAAGTTCGAAAGCGCCCAACTTTGTCAAGGACACTAGTTCACGATAGCATCCTTAAATGGCTCCAGGAGTGACTCATCAAACCAGCCGGCCAAGTCAAAGGCAGTCCACATCTTGGAGGCCTTATTGACATCAATCTTGCAAGCCTGTTGGGCGTCGGTCTTGCGGAAGCCTTTCCCTTTCCTAAAGTTGACGAGCCTGCCGATGAAAATGCGTCTCTTGCTGGTCAGGTATGTCGCACAGTCAAGGCGCAGGATGCTTGCCAGCGCTATTTCGTCAGGAGAAAGAAGATGTCGATGAGGGTCGTTGCTGTTGTCGAGATGGTTCCCCTTCCAATCAGCCTTCCACCAGTTCTTATGCGCGGGAACCACGCTCGGTGGTGGACAGAAGTCCTGCAGTGATGCAAAATCTTTGTCTGGACCTTGAGCCCGAGGTTTCGGCTCAGCGATGTTGTTGCCATTGGGACTGAACTGAGGAGTTGGTCGTCTGGGGCTGTTGGTAGGTTGAACGCGAATAGTTCGCCCGGTCCCGGGAGGTTTCGCAACACGACTATTGTCAGTGCGAGGTCGAGATATCTTGGGGGTAGCTTTGGCTGCCAAGGGACGAGCGCGTGCTTTGGCTTGCGCTATGCGATGGTTGTCGTCACGAGCCTGCTTAGTTACTGACAGCATCCATGCCTTTGGGTTTTGTGCGTAAGCTTTGTTGAGTTGCGACTGAAACGAAGCCACAAGCTCATAGTCGTTGCGTGTCGGTGGTGGCACCTCAACAAAAATCTTGTCGTTGATATTCTTTTGTATGTGTTCCTCAATCGTTCGACTATGGTCACGATCCTCAAGGGTTGGGGGAAATAGAGGAGTCTGGGCTGGACTGGAAGATGCATCATCTGGGTAGAGAACGATATCACGGCCCGTTGAGTTTGTTGGTGTCTCGGTAGCGGCCATAGGTCTGTTGCAAGGCGAGATGGGAGGAGACATTGGAGTCTGTCCCGAAGCGTTCTTGCTTGAGGAGAAGGAGGAGTCGACCTTTCCAGTGTGGAAATAGAAGCTATCGTGTGCTTGGTCCGGAGGCGACATCAGACTGTTGATATGCATCCTGGAAGGAATTGAGGCAGGATGCGCCGGAGGAGGCATTGCGCTGGTCGCTTGCGCAGAGCGAGGAGAATTGGCCGCCATTGTTGTGGTGTTGTTTGTGTTGTTTGAGGGACCGGATGGTGAGTAGTGAAGAGAGAGAGATTGAATAGAGGGGAGAGGAGACGAGGATCGTTCAGTCTGCAATTTGACTGACGAGATTGTATTGTCGTCGAAAGTGGTAGAAGGTTGCATGGCGCAGATAAAGCGAAAGTGGTTTGTCAGCCACGAGAGGCAATCAGTCAGTCACAATGGCTGTGACGTGGACAATAGGGAGTGTGGCGAAACCGTTGAGACCTTTTAGAGCAATCTAAAAGGGCGAGGGGCTCTCAATTAATAGGCTCAGGCGAAAGGCCTGAATAAGCCCGAATGAGTCTTGTCGACTTTGTTTGCGTATGCCCAACCCAAAAGTGTATGTAAGTGCGCTGTCAGTGACTGGGTGGGCGCCTAGACCAGAGTACCTAGTAGGCAGCAACAGGGCGGCGAAACTAGAGGGGGGG